GGATCGCCTGGCGGCGGGCGAACAGCAGGATCCTCTTGCGCCACTCTCGGTAGCCGGTCATCGTGTTGTCGAAGCGCGGGATGTAGCTTCTTTCATCTTTTCCAAAGGTGGCCTTCTCGGCCGGCTCTTTCGCTTGCGAGCTTCCCTTCGGGGATCGAGACATGGCGGCAAATGGATCCGGAGCTGCTCTTTGGCAGCTCCGCTACCAATGTGAAAACACGGGAACACGAAAGGAGATCAAACCGAGTTCACCGTCGATGCGGAACGCTCTAGGTTTCCGTCTGCAACAAAAGGGGCCTTTTCCTTCAGGGCTCATGTACGAGCAGCCACATGTTGTGGCCCAAGCGCGCTTGAGGAAGCGGCGCGAGAACGAGTGCGAATCGAGCGCAGTCATCATGGAATGACTTCACATCTTGTTTCTTGCTTCAAATTCACATTTATACCTACTACTAGTGTTATGTTGGGCAGTGGCAGCCATACATGACCAACCATCAAATAACTTTGTTTGTGAAAAAAAGCGAAAAAAAGAAAAGCAAACCAAAAAAAAAGCAAATGAAAATGCAAGAGCAGCGCAATTTGCTTTGTGTTTGCATTTGTTGTGTCTTTTTCTTTTCTCCTGGTACCACTTCTGCACTTATGAGAACTTTTACCCGGCAGCAATATTTGCTGCACACTCCTAGGAAAAGAAGCGAACAAAAGCGAAACAAATGCGAAAATAAAGCGAAAAACATGCGAACATAAAGCGAAATAAAAGTGAAAACAAAGCGACAAATACGCACAGCTACATGTTTTTGCTTTTTTGTTTGCTCTACCTTTTGCTTTTAATTATTTTGGCTCCTTGTATCTATGGCTGGCGTGCCCGACATAATACTAGTGCAGGGTGGGTGCCCTGCCTGCTCTACTATACTAGGTGCCCTGCTCTACTATATACCTACTACATCCTACTACTACCCCTGCCCCTGCCAGTCCTACTGCCAGTCCTCACCACAAGCAGCGGCCGTCGAAAGGTGGGTGCCCTTGTGGATGCCAAAGACCAACGCTTAGAGAGCGCCCTGTGCGCCCGGACCGGACGGACAGAGCTCGTGCGACCGGCTGGGAAACCGGTCGCGCGTGCGTAGGTCGAGTCCAGACATGCAAGGCGCCAGTGCCAAGGGCCGGGCCTAATCCACTTAGTGTTAGGGTACTGCCAACCCCGAGTTGGAAACTGGGACCGGGTTTCCACTGAGCCTTTCGCCGATGCAGGTACCACCGACGCTGCGCCTTCCACACTGCCGAGGGCTGGCGGGGCTGTTGCGCGGCGCTGAACGCCCACGTGCTCGCACCGGGGCTGAACGTTCCGCCGCTGCTCCTGCAGCCCACGGCCGTGGCGCAGGGGTGGTGGGCCATGCCGCCCTTGATGAAGGTGAACGAGTGGGTGCCTAGGTGTGGAAGTATGACTGCAAGACCTGCAAGAGACTCCAAGAGGGCTCACAAGGAAAATGGAAGTAGGACGAGAATCATGGGAATGGGCTTTGTATACATTGAACCAATTTGAGATGTACGATGTTTTCACGCATGCAGTCGTACAAAACAGCCTATGTTCACGAGCATCCAACTCATGGAGGTGGACCGAAGTAGGAAGCACGTCTGTTGGAGAGAACCGGGAATTTCCAAGCACGATCCACTTCCAGACGGTTCCTTGGATCAAGGATGATACAGGGGGAACAAGACTATGAGAAACAAGTATAATTATTAGGCTTGGTAGATGTTGGTGGGACTCCTTAAATATTTTAAAAGTTGTTTATGGTTCTTCTTCTCCAAGGTGTTTCCAGTACCAGGTAGATTCGGCAGATGCTTGCAACAAAATGAGACGCAGCTTTGGAGTTCCCTCTGAGGCCAGGTTCGTGGCCAGCGGTGCTTCCGCGGGCGCTCCCTCAGCTGCAGGCGCGAGGGGTTGAGATGCGTCCAGAGCTCCATGGCTAGAGCTCCATGGATTGGCCTGCACTGGACTTTTCAAAGCATACGCGTCATACGCGTATGTACGTGTTGCATCCCCAAAAAACATATTGCAAAGATACCCTAGGGATCCAAGTACCTCCTCAGAAGGTACTTGGACCCTCCATACCTACATAACAGTGCCTCCAATCACCGACCAAGAAATGTCATCAAGTTTCACTCGATCTTCTCGTCCACACGCTTTGCAGCCATCAAGGAGACGCTCAGGTGCCAGTGGAGCAGGTGGCAGTGGCATGGCAGAACGTGCCTACGGAGCAGGGTTGACGCTTCTGAGCTGGTAAAGATGCGCTTGAACTTAACATCACGGCGGAACATGGATTGAAATGGTGTCCATTTGAGTTGAAGTACAGCTTGTAGATCATCCCCACGTGAATTGCCCTTCATGTGACTTGCTGTAGTCAATAAGCAAAAACGTGATGAAATGCTTCAACACTGTCTATTTGCAGGTAGTCACGTGCTTGTTGTATACATCACCCGAGGAACCCAAAGACTGTATTCACCCTCACATGTTATCTCCAGTTTGACAAATTTTGCTACATTATGCTCAACCGACATCAATATGCGCAGACACCATTCAAATGGGAGGTTTTACTGTGCAAGAGTCTACTAGGACCCACAAGGGGTGGTTAATGGACACCCCGAATCACCTCTAAGGGGCTATCAATAGACACCCCAAACAGGGTGTCCTGGTACATTAAATTAAATAGTGGACCTTCCTCCTCCTTTCCCGGATGGTGCGCTTCTTAGGTGGCTTTGTCCGCAGCACTGCCGGTGCACGCGCAGCAGCTGCTGCGGCAGTTGGGTCGGGGACCGTTGGGGCAACCCGGCCAAAGCATGGGTGGGGGCGTTGAACTTGCTTGGCTCAGGTGGGCTGGTGGATGTTTGATTCATTACAGGCATAGAAGTTACAGGTGTATACAATATACCTAGTTATGTTTATTATATATATAGTTAATATCACTATATACAACATTAGTTGGTTTTTATGATGTATTAAACCATGTTTAAGCAAGCTTTACGGATGTGGACAGTTGTGCTGAACCCTTCACCCTTCTTGGAGGGTTTACAGACGGTGCTTAGACCATCAACATCTTCGAGGAACGACGAGTGGAAGTCAAGCATTTCACGAGCTGAATCGGCCTGGCAGAAGTCCCTGAATCGGACGTCCTCACCTAACCATCCACAAGTCTTCACCCGCACTTTTTGTGACAAAGCTGCGGTCCAATCAATTGTATTATATAATCTTGGTTTTAGCATATGCCTGTGCACTGCATTCGCTTTGTGCCACCCCATGGAGCTTCGTCAAGACTTGCCAAAGAACTGCCCACCAATTGCTGTGCTTTACGGAGCCTGATCTTACCCAACTCAACTGTTCCAACAAAAAAGCACAGACACTCGTTTAGAGTAATATATTACTTTCTCAGGTGATTAAGCACTGCAAACTTTGGTTTCCCTTCCCTCGCACTTTGTTCGATGTTTTTTTGTTGAGTTCTTGACAGTCGCCAGACGCTGCAGAGAGAGAGAGAGAGAGATAGAGAGTCGCCCCACTGCTACCTAAGCCATGGCGAAAACAAGAAGCGCACACAAAATCACACAGAGGACCGCACACATGTATAAACATGCTGTCGGCCATTCCTGAATTTCACCCAGTCATCTGCAAGGTCGAATCCCGAGCCAAGCTTTCAAAAAACAGGGAGTCAGTCATGAGTCATACCAGTCATGACCGTACTGGAACGTGGAACCTGGGAGGGTACTGCAGGTCGTTTGACTCCCTCGCCCCCGCGCCTGCGAGGTCGGAGCGGTCCGGAATCGTGCAGGAGGGATTCGGGCATCGCTGGCTGTGAAGGGTCCCAGGGTTTGTGGCATCACATGGTGGCAAGCTGGGGAGAGGCGTTTGGAAACATAAGGAGCCAAGAAATACCTTGGGAAGTGGACAAGAACTTGGCCAAACATCAGGACAAGCATAAGGACAAGAAACAGAAGTACCCAGGGCTTTTGCTTGACTTCACTTCTGACGGCTTGATCACCCCATCCCATCCGTGTCTCGGACCCATCGGATGGCCATGACTCTGCCCTGGCCATGCGGATTCAGATTCATGGTGCTGATCGGCTCAAGGGGTGGTAAAACATGGTAAACACTTAGTCCACCTTGGAAGAGTGCTGATGGGAAGAAAGGCTGTCACAGATCACCCACCCTTCCACAGTCCAATCAGAACATCGCATCCACTAGCTAGATGGATCCATGTAAGCTCCGGATCTAGGATGGGATCAGCCTTGTTCTTTATCCCGCATAACAGCGAAAGGGCAGAAGATTAGCAGAGTATAAGTATATAATCGAATGGTTGTAGATCATCATGTAGACACACCAAGTCGGAGTAATTCCCCCGTGTAGAGCGCGATGTGAGCCCTCATTCGGCGTGGAAACTTTCTCCCAACAACACGACTCACGCCTTCCCGGACGGATGCAGTGTGAGCCCATTGTCAACCCCTACCAGACCAGGGATGCATCGTGATGCATCGAACCAAAGATATCTTTGGAAGTGATCTTTGATGGTTGAGATCTATTAGACAGACAGAGACAGAGCTCCTGGCCGTACTACTAGGAGCAAGAACGCTACGTTCGGGGCTCCTGGCCGTACTACTATTTTCAAGATAACACCATGGAAACCAAGTCGACCCATCGCGTCAGTTTGTTCCCTGGAAGAAAACATGTGGACAGCATTCTTCCAGTCTGTCCACCTAACTCTCCCCACAGCCATGCCCCAGCCATGTCGCAGAACACAAACGGAATCCAAAGTATCTAGTGGTCCTCAAACAGAGAGAGGCAAATCCCCACTAGGGATGTATTGGAAAGCGTGCCGCTATCGTTTTAGGGGACCACCAAAAAAACAGCTATACCCCCTTCAAGATCTACCTGTTTTATCCATATTCTACTCAGCCCTGCGCCACCGGATGACCGAATGACTTGACGCGCTGGGGCGGACCGTGCTCCGCCGTGCGGCACCATGGCGCTGTGGAAGATGGTGGCTGCGCTGGCCTTCACGATGCTCGACCGAGGGCGGTTAGTAGACCAGCACCATTGTCATCCCGGTGTTCAGAATACTATGTTTGCAATCGTGGTGTTTTTATTCGGAAGTCATTCTGCAAACATCACATTTACCGCTGACACTTCACCCCATCATCCATGGAGGCCAAGCGGATGATTTCAGTCACTGAAGAAGACATGTGTTGGAATGACGGGATTGATGAGCTGGTGGACGCAGCCCTGATCAGCCCTGTCAAGGAAGCGAATGACGGGGATGTTGATTTGATGCCATGTAGACCTTGATTTATAACACGCCCCTTCCAGAATGGATTTACATCTCCAAATGTCTCGGAAATCCTGTGAATGGCAACGTGTTCGTTAGAGTTAGAATCTCAAGAAGCTTTTGTGATGCAGGAGTTTGGATGAAAGATATGCGAACTTTCGGGGTGGAATTTGAGGCCACTTGCGACATCAGAGCTGTTCCAAGGATCACCATGAGTGCTACGATGATCATTTTCAACGCCATGCTCTTGCAGGGCTTCAGGTAGCTGGGCAGAAGGCGTCGGCGGATGCCCGAAAACGGCCCAGCCTTGGGGCTAAATGAAGGAGAGCGGGGAATAGCAGACCTTGAGATGCCTGAGTCTTGGGGCCAGACGCCTATCGGGCCAGAAGGCTATGCCAGCGGCCAGGATTTTTCTTCGGATTAGGCAAAGTTCTGTCGTGGCTTTGTTCTGTCGTCAGCCAGGAGGCACGACACTTCACGAGACCTGTTTTTTGCAATTTTGCAAAGTGCAAGGCCTCCTGTCGCGGAGGAAGCTTCTCTTTGAGTTCTTGATTCCTATGCCAGACTTGGGTCATTTGTTGCGATCCATTGACTTAAGGTGCTCAAGGCATAGTCTCTCACTTCAATCAGTGCTTAGAACCCACGCAAACGACGCCTGCAACGGCTTCTCATACGTCTCTCCCCGAGCCTCTCGCTAGTCCTTGCCCCCCCAAAACCACCTACGCGCGCGTGCGCGTGCTTGCCCCTCCCCCCTCACTCTGCGCGCGCACGAGACGGGGTAGACCTGACGTAGACCTCCTTCCTGAGGCACCCGGTTTGGCTCACCTTCTGGCACCAGTCCGTCAGCACCTGCTGCGTGTTGCTGGTCCGATGCGCCAAGCCTTCGCTGGTGACCATCACGTCCGACGAGAACCACGAGCCGCTGGGCGTGCTGGGAGCTTTATGGCTTGGAGCACCCATCGCGTGCATGTGCCGTGTCAAGGAGGGAAGACGTGGTGGGGAGGGTGGGTGGAAATGAGGCGAGCAGGGATCGGTGTAGATATTGGATAGAGATTCCAGTAGACAGAATATATGGAAAAATCTAGACGAAAACAATAGGACACTGGTTGCTTTGGATGTTTGTTTGATTTGGTTGGTTCATTAATCTTCCCTGACAATCCAATCATGTACTGTTCACATGCTCGGTCAGTCACGCAGTATTTACGTGTTTTGTGAGAAATGTTGCTATTCACATACTTGGTGCATCTTGGTGCTAAAGAATGTCAATGGAATCTGCAAATAGCACGTGTTTGGATTCATAGGGGTTCCATTTGTATTCCGGGATGGTTGTAGAGATTGGGGCTGTTCTTGATTGGCAAGAATTGAACGAACTAGTCGTGAGCCATTGGCCCCGGTCGTTGGCGCAGTGATTGCGGTGTGACTCTTCTGCCGAGAAGTGTAGCCAGGGCACCCGGCTTCACGCAAGAAATTGCATGGAAGCAATGCTGTTGGTTTCATCTAAAACCTATGCAAATTGACATCATATCGCCCTAAGGTTCCTTGCATGGTTGCATTCTTGACTCGCAGGCAGCTGGCCTCATATATCTTGAACACCGAAGACCCTGACACAGCACTGGTCAAGAGCCAAACAGTGCGACACCAGACCAGCCAGCCCCATGGTGCTCGGTGCTACGATGCTCAGAGTTGTTCCACCCAGAATCAGAACGTGAACACAATTGAACACATGTTTTTATTCCAGATTTGAGTCACAGTGCATAGCACTAGATACCATACCATACCATATTGTACCACCATGTTTTGAGTGCATACCATACCCTCTTCAAGTCAGTATGGTCTTCCGTCGCCTAAAAGGTAGTGTGTACCACGTACCCCGCGCGCGCCTTGAGGCAATCGGTTGGCCTGATTTGTGGGAACACTGCAGTGATGTACCTTTCAGTTGGCTTTTGTCAGATGACTCTTGGGTCGGAAGGGGGTACTGCCCCACACGTTCGGCGCCGCTGAATGTATAGGGTTTGGTTTGGTTGACCAGATGCGATTATTGCTGTTAACCGTGCTCATATGAATCATAGAATCATGCTTCCCTTTGCGCTAGACACGGGTATCTTTGGGTACAGGATTATGTTTCATCTCTTCTCAACGCCCGAACCAAGCTGCTTGAATACGCACTCAATCAGATCATCCAAGCACCATGTTCCAGCATGAAAAGGTTGCTTCTTCCACATATCACCCCCGTTTTGTTTCACAGAACCCAAGTCTTGAAGGTCTGAGGTCTCGAACTTCAACCCACATCAGGGGTCACATCTGGTTAGGTGATCCGTTTTGCGACCGTCTTTTCCTAAGCTGTTCCTAGCGCTCGCGCCGCAGCGACCGAAGGCGCGAGCGACCGGCCTTCAGGCCTGCGGAACTTCGGAGATCGAGTGATGTGGTGATTGACCCTACAGGTCATGTGTCCCATGACCTGGTAACAGGTCAATTTTCAAGGAGTATCACGATGTCACTAGAAAGGCCCGCAACTGAATAACATCGTCATCCACTGATACAGGGAATGGGATACACCCAAGATTTACCCCACGGCGGACCAAGTACTTCTTGGTGTAGTGGGACATGGGCAGCATGCTATGGCTTGCAAATGTCGCCCACATGTTGAACCAGGCCTTTCCTGGCATTCAACAAAAGTAGCCAAAGTTATCTATATATTTATTTCATATATTTAATAGACTGACTAGATGTTTTGATGTGCGCCGGTTTCCCTCTTGCTGCATGTTTGCTCTCCGCCTTGGTCTGAGGATCAAGGCCTGGACGGCCTCGGCCGTGTATGTGGTGGGCTGCTTCGTGGGCACCCAGGCGACCGTCCGACGGCCGTCTCAAACGGGTCTCCGATAACTGGAAGACCCAGCCCACGACGTACCGTGGATCTCCAGACAGGACACCCTGTTTGATGGTCTGGGTGATTGTATGTATGTATGTATGTATGTATGTATGTATGTATGTATGTATGT